TTGATGTGGTATTTCTCGGTGTGGTAAAGGAGTTGAGTAGTATATATTTGTATGTTCAAAGCCAGCTTTTCCAGGGAAAAAAAAAAGTTCAAGGGGAGAAGTCCCCTTGAGCACTCAGATTTACCGTGTAACACAATTTCACACTGATTGGCTACCAAATTTCGTCTCACGTAAAAAAATATTTAATATTTTTTTCTTTTTTACTCGTGTTGGTTACACTGTTTTTTTTATCTAAAATTTGATAAACAAATTTACAATAATTTTTGAAGTTGATTATTTTTTTTTATTATATTCAGTTACTAATGATCTATCGTTCACTCAAGTTGTGTCTCATTTTTCTTTATTTTCTCAAAGTTTTATTAAATTGAATAAGTTATTTAATTTCTTCAAAAATGAATTTTCAAAAATGCACAAACGATATCCAGTCATTGGTCGATCAAATACGATTCAATTCAACGTCAGCGTATCCAGAATTCTCTACATTTGTGTCGAGGTTACGACCTTTAGAAGTTCCCTTCAAATACCGGACAGAATAAGTACAAAACTCTCGGAATGTGGTTTTACTATATCAATCTCGACGATGCAGTTCAATGTCATTGGTGTGGAATAATTCTACATAGTTTTGAAATCGGTGATAATTGTTTTATAGAACATACTCGATTCTCACCTAGATGTTTATTTGTATTGTTAATGAAAGGAAATCAGTTTGTTCAAAAAGTCTAAGTAAAATTTGTAAAACCGAAGTTATTTGTAATTGTGAAACCGGTTCGTACGATACCATTTGTTAAATCATGTTTTTTTTTTAAATGTTTATATATACATATATTTATTTATGCTGCTTATAATATTTGCTGTATTGGATAAAAAAAAAAAATAAAACAAAATTGAATTTTTTATCTTAAATGTGTTATTATTCGATTTAATATCTCGTGGACATACAGTCCTAGCGAATTAGTGCGTATAAGATATTTAAAAATGTTTTTCAGGGTAAAGGTTAGTAAGTATATGTAAATTCCCTCTCTTGTACGCACTCATTGGCTATCTGTATGTTCACATTTTTTGCATTTTTTCCAAAGAGTTTTTAGTATATAATATGACTGCACAGGGGACAAACTAACAGTTCAATGTATAACTCCTAACAGTTATATCCCACTTCTTATTTATAAAAGATTTTTTTTTTTAAATTTGACAAAAATAACTTCACTATGAGTTCACCAATAATTGTCTGTAAGTCTACATTCGACATCCGGGCTTTTAACAAGAAAAGTATTACAGTTGGATTACTAATTAACAAGCAGATTTCAATTATTTTATTATTGGAATGTAAACTTACAAAGAAAATTATCACATTAAGTTTAGAAGAATGGTTTACACTGATGTCTGAACCTAATTACAATTCGATTATTAATAATTTAAATACTAGGGTGAGGCGTGTAAAAATCACCGATTCCTTTTCATATTCAACCAATGTTAAACAGAGTTTAATTACCCTACATCTAAATGAGGAATACATTACCTTGTCACATGTAGATTTGTACCGACTTCGTCAATTACAGAATTTGATAGATTTGTACGTGGTAGACAAGCAAAAACGTTTAGCAAATTATCAAAATACTTTCAACACTGCATATGACCTAATTAAAAATGATGTCCGTGGTCTGCCGTCCACCTGTCAGAGGAACGAATTTACCAACCAATATATTCAAAACTATGATTTTAATTATTATAATCACCTACAGAACGATGACACATCATTTTTATATGAAATATTACAATTCCATTTTAACACATTGTCCGATATGATTTTGCAAGATCTAATATTATAAAAAAAATATTTAAATATGTATAATTATTGTTTTTTTTAATAAAACTTTTTTTTCAATAATAAACTTGCTTTTTATTTTAATTACATCTCACCTTAAATCATAAGAATAGTTTTAATAAGTTTTAGTTTTAATATTATGTTTTAAAAGTAGATTAAATTTGTTAGTATTTCAAATTACTATAATTTTTAAATTTTTAAAATTTTTTTCCAAACAACCATAGTTTATAGGTTTATGTTTTCCAAGACCTTTAAGTTTTGAATAAATAAAAACATACATGCATAATAATATTTTGTTTATTAAATGAAACTCATTTTTCAAATAATAATCAAACAGTCTTCTTGCTTTTAATAGTCTGACGCTTCGGATCGGTTAGTAATTTGTCAAATATGGTTTGTATTGTCTCATTAAGACCAGTATGAAGCGTTTGATCTTTTGATTCATCGCTCGTATACAATCTGACAGTAGCTTCACTGAACTTCCATCTACAAATTATTTTATTTTAAAAACAAAAGAAGTAAATAAAATCAGTGAAAAAAAAAACATATTAATCAATATTTTAAATTTAAACCAATGTATTTACCTGTCTTTTACTGGTACATTCTCAATGTTAGCAACCTTATAGTGACTAATTACCCAAAGCTCCGTGCCTTTTTCTTCAAAAGGTGTTTTTATTGTAACTATGCCATCCCCTTGTCTAAATGTCAGCGAATTAATTAACTCGACATCAAATTCTTCTGATCTCAAACGTTCGGTAACATTATCTCTGTATGATGCACTCTATAAAAAAAATTAAATTATTTATGCTATCATTATAAAAATATTATTTATATTACCAATTTATTCTGCTTTTTTTTCATAGGTTTTTTTGCACTTGTTTTTTCTACAGCACGTTTTAGACCAGGTTTTGTTTTTGAAAAAGACGGTCTCATATCAATTGATTCGCTGAAATGTTCATTCTATGAAACATAAGACATAGTATATTATTTTTTTACTGTTTTTTTTTCATTATATATTTTCTAAGAATTATAACTAAAGCGATGAGTAATGTATCCAATATGTTTTTAGTTACTATATAGTTTTTAAACTATGTCATAATCAGACATTTAATATTATTTTAAGAATTATAACCATAGCGTTGAGTAGTGCTATGACTGGTCTCTAATTAGCTTCGGCTATAAGATATTTACTAAGTAGTTACTAACCTCTGAATCAGTTGAAGCAATTGTACGGTACGACATCTTTTTTGGTAGTATCTCTGTTGAACTGAGCTGCTTGTCTTGGGATGAAATCTTGAAGACTGGTGAATATTAGTGAATTCCCTCTATCTTTTATACACAGATTTTGCCACTACTTCAATAATTTAAAATACAAATTTCCACAGCAATGGCCTTACCTTACAGAAACCGGTCGAAACATGTACATAGAGGAACAACAAATTCACCAGTTGAACCAAGGTTCACAGCAAATTACATAATATGAATTTAAATTGTTGCTAACATAAATTGCTTTCATATTATAATTACACTATATGAATATAAATTATTACAAACAGGATTTAAAATAATTTAAATTCATACCAATGCCATTCTAATATGAAAACAGGATATGTAATATATTAAAATGTTTAAATTCATTCTAAAAAAGTTTCTGATGTGAACAGAGAGGGGCTATTTTCAGGTATAAAACACAGAATTTCTTAGCTTATCGTCATCAGTTCAAGCAACAGCAGAACAGCATTCTTCGCCAACCAATAGTCAGCCAGCAGATTATCAGACCTCTTCAACAAGCCATCATACTTAGAAAAAAATACTTAAATTTCCACAAGCTATGTAAGTACTATTTTTATATTGTTATTTATTAAATTTAACATCTAAACTTCTTTTTTAAAATAAAAAAAAATATTTAAAAAAAAATAGAATAATAACAATGTATCGTTGTAATATAGCTTTATAATATTACTATGATCGTTATATCATGTAGGTATGACTTTAGATAGAAATTCTATCTTAAACAGTGTCACGAACTAAGATATATTATCTTAGTTCATGCTTATTATTGATAATTATTGTAACTTAACCTCAAAATCTGACTGCACTAGCACACACTGGTGTAGTGGTGTACACTGTCTGGTGTACACTGTCTAGTGTCTGGTCGATACCGTGAATTTCAATGGTGTGGTCAATTATGTGATTATGGAATCAGTGTTCACGTGTAGTGTGTACTAGTAGTCAGAATATGGAAAAACGCTATTACGGTTATCTATAGTTTATCAACGTTGAAATACTTTCGCTGATTATAAATATTTGGTATTGATAATGTGATAGTTGTATTATACGTGTAATATTATTTTACGTAAAAATGTTTTAATTAGAAAAAAAATATTCAATAATGTTTACTGTCGGTATAAAAAAATATATAATATCCTAAAACGTATATAATATATAAATTTAAATTATTTTTGTTGCTTTTACATCGAGATTCATCGAAAGCCGCGGATACACGGTGGTAGTAAACACGATAGTTGTTACTATCACACTATTACGATGAACTAGCATAGAAACTATCACGTATTTTCTATTATCGTGTGATCACGGTTTCATTAGTAATTAAAAGTATGGTTCTATGTTATAAATACTATAATATTGCCTAGTTAATATTTTAACTGTGATGTGAAAACTAGTCAAATAATATGAGTTAAATATAATATAATATAATATAAAGGAAAAATAATATTGTATCGCTTATAATTATTATGACTCGACTTTTTTTATTTTATTGAATATATTGATTAATAAATAAATATTAACATTTACAGTATATAGATAATGAACTTTTAGCATTCATATGATTATTGATGTGAACAAATTCAATATTATGAAGAGCAGATTGTAGCATTAACGAAGATGATTAGTGAAAATAAAATTAAAATGGAATCTCGTTCAAACCAAACGTTAATAAAACATAAAATTGAAGAAAAAATATGAATTACTTGAAAAAACTTTGGACGAAGAAGACGAAGAAGAAAATATACATTAAAACAAAATTAAAACAATGAACCAAAAAATTAAAAAATTAAAATATGAAAAAAAAACAACTTAATCTAGACTACCAACAATCACAATATACATATTATATATGTAGATTATACATATGCAATTCTTTACATTCACTGGACAGAGAATTAGAATCTTTGAATATAGACTAAAACTAATATGTAATAATATAATTAGTAATTATTATATCATTGACAATAAATATATATATATATATATACGTATATTCAATGTTGTTTAATAAATAATCGTTTTAATTATTAGATTTATAAATTATACATTTCATACTAATGTATTTAGCTAAAATTATAGATAATGAATTTTTAGCATTCATATGATTATTGTTGTGAACAAATTTATTATTATGAAGGGTAGATTGTAGCATTAACGAAGATGATTGATGAAAATAAAATTAAAGAGAGATACGAATATAAAGATCTTAAAAAAAATTAGAAACCTCAAATTCACTATTTATTTAAGTAGATCAAATTCTAAACCAAATTTGTCTTATATAAAAGAGTTAAATGTTCACAAATTCTATGCATTTTTTCTAGAATAAAAAAAAAAAAAAATGGAGTCAACAGCAATGATATGGGAAGAAATTAACAAGATATTGTGTCAACTCAAAGCAAACAACCGTAGCATGGATGAAGACAAAGTCGCTTTCAGAAAAAAAATGAAAGATTTGAATTTTAGGATTAAGAATGCGACTTTGAAAACAACCAGACATAAATTAAAAGAAGAAAAACAGGAATTATTAAATGATTTTAAAAGTTTAATTTATTCAGCCTTTCTATGTGAAAGAAATATACAAAAAGGCTTGAGTATATTGTACGATAAATTAGATAGAATAGAATTAGAATATTATAGTCGTTGATACAATTATGTTTTCCGAAATAAAATCGATTAAATAAATAATTTATTATTTTATATTATAATTATATATCGAATGTTATTGAAATAAATTATAACCTATATCATTCCTGTGTATATAATATTCAATACTGTCTAAGTTTTATAATCGTTCGAATAAAAATAATTTAATACTGGATTGACTAAAATGTTTTTTTTCTTTGTAATAATTTAGAATTAATACTATTATTATATTTTGACAAAATATTCTAAATTGCTTACATCAAATTTTAAAAAAGAAGTTGATGTTATAATAAAATATCACAATATTATTATTATTGCTTATGCTTATGTTTTTATTTAATCTATTTTCAGTTTTACAATGAAAAGAAAAACGGTTACAAAACGTCAGCGGATGATGTCTTCTGATGAAGGTTTATTTGAAATTGAAAGATTTAAAAAATGTTCGAAAACATTTTTAATTAAGAATACTTTAGATTTTATAGACTACACACTTTTTTTTAACTATGTTAGAGATAAATTAATTTTAAAGTTAAAACAATCATGTTTACAATCATCTATAAAATTTAATTTACATGTGGATAGTGTATACGAACGAATAATTACTCAAGAAGTTCAGGACATAGCATTCAAAACTTCTAATACACTTGCATGTAATTCATCCGATTTCAATAAATTATTAAATAGGATGTTCGATAAATTATTATCCGAGCAAGACCAGTTTTTAGCGAAAGGATCTGGGTGGTCTCTTAAGAGTATAGATGTATTGCAATTAAGAATTAATATAGTGAATCCCCTCAGGGGATGAACGTATATAGATTTACCTGAATATATGAAAGTTAAAAGGGCAATTATAAATGTGAAAAAATAACGATGGTAAATGTTTTAAATATTCAATACTATCTAAGTTTGATAATCGTTCGAATAAAACTTTTTTTAAATAAAAAATATTTTAAAATGTCAGAAAAAAAGTGGTTTAGATTTTAAATGTATTGATTTTCCAACACCACATCGGTTAGATGAAAAAAATTGAACGTGTAAACGATGTATCAATTAATCTTTATAGTTTAAATGATAAAGAACATATTTTTTCCTCTGTATATATGTGATACTGAAAGAAAAAAACAATTCGATCTATTTTTGTTTAATAATAACGAAACATCACATTACTGTTATATAAAAAAATTTTCAAGATTCGTTAGCACATGCTAATGCTAACCCATTTGAAAAAAGACAAAATTTGTATAGAAATATATAATTAAAAATCACATGTAATTTAATAATTATATGGATATACTAAACGCTTTTATAAATCATAGAACTCTCAAGGATGAACAAACTCATAGAAAAAATGAATTTTAACCAATCCAATAAACATGTTGTTCATTCGAAAACAATGAACAAACTTGTTCTAAGTGCAAACAATGATAAACTTCATATAATGGATGACACGATAAATACTTTAGCTTATGGTCACTATAAACTTAATGGTTCAGTATAAAAAGCAACAAAAAAAGTTAATTGAATAAAAAGTGAATTATATTATACAGTGTATTCAAAAATCAATCACTGATATTATTTCACTTTTATTTATTTTTGAAAATATAAAAAAACAGTACTATATCATAAAGTTAAAAAATGAAAAAGAACATAGTCTCTTTGACTGATGTCTGATTATTATTATTAATATTTTAAGTTTTAAAATTTAAGAAACTTTAATTAAATATTATATTAATAACATATTTTATGACTGGTCAGCTAAACTATTCAAAATAATAATAATAATAAAAACGTATAAAGATTACATTTAGCTAAAAACGGAATAAATATTATACTAACGGGTGTATAAGAAGTTGACTATAGAGACCCCTTAATAAAAAAAACTATTTATTAATACTATATTATTACCACATACTATATTAAAGAAGAATATTATTAAATAAGAAAAAAACTACATATTATATATATATAATTGAAATAGAGTTGTTCGATATGATATTATAATAATTTATAACATAACTGCTTATATATTTTATGTTTTACAGTTGTATTACGGAAAGAATGAAGAAAATTATTTCAAACCGTTAACCATCAGAATCAATAGAATTAATTAAAATTGAAAGATTTAAAAAAAAAATGTTCTAAATAATGTTTGATTAAGAATATAGATTCCATACTATACAAGTTGATTATAAACTTTTTTATTAAATAATTGTTAAAGATAAAATAAATACTATACTAAAATTAAAGGATAAAAATATAGAAGTATTATTTGTTTTCATTGATTAATTTTTCCGCTATATGGTGCTTTT